CCATCGAATGTGAGCATTTGCCCACTTAAGTCGGTTACGACGACGACCTGCAGTCAGGTCGAGACCCCGATGAGGATGACGAGCATGCAGTTGAGCTTCCCTGAGATGGTTTCTGACAGTTTGTGCAGTAATTCTTTGGTTATGCAAACCGATTGTTGCAGCAGCTGTCTGGGTGGCTGGTCTCAGACGATCTTGGAGGTGAAGATGCTGGATGTGGAGGTCCTGGGCTGGTGTGGTTACATGTGGTCTGCGGTTGTGAGGCCGGTTGGATGTACTGCCAAATTCTCTGCCTTTGGAGACGGCTTATGGTAGAGAAATAAACATTAAATTCATGGGCAACAGCTATGTTTGACATTCCTGCAGTCAGCATGCCAATTGCAAACTCCCTCAAAACTTGCGACGTCTGTGCCATTGTGCTGTGTGATAAAACTGCACATTTTAGAGTGGCCTTTTATTGTGGCCAGCCTAAGGCACACCTGTGCAATAATCATGCTGTCTAATCAGCATCTTGATATGCCACACCTGTGAGGTGGATGGATTATCTCAGCAAAGGAGAAGTGCTCACTTACACAGATTTAGACAGATGTGTCAACAATATTTGAGAGAAATAGGCCTTTTGTGAACATAGAAAAAGTCTTAGATCTTTGAATTCAGCTCATGAAAAATGGAGGCAAAAACAAAAATGTTGCGTTTATAATTTTGTTTAGTTTATGCTTTCAAATGCTGAGCTTTGATCATAAAACGAAGCATTTAAATATTAACCTACGTAGACCTATTATTTTGAGATACAGAGTGACATCTGATATTTATATAATTTACTGTTGGTAAGTAGTCTGCTTCAGAATTTCATCTTAATTCTTGGCCATATAAATATGCTTTTGATCTTTTTTTTTTCCTCAAGTGTGAGATCAATATTCTCACTATATCATAGCACAGTATATGGGCCACCAAATCTTGCTGTATCAAATGTTATGCAAAAAAACATTGTGTGTGTGTGTGTGTCTGATATACCCTACATTATGGGGGCCAAATGTCCACAAGGATAGCAATACCAGTCGTCTGTTGACCTTGTGAGGACAAGTGATTGATTGATTGATTGATTGATCTCATGATGACCAAACAGCTTATAAATCATATAGAACAATCTTTTTTGAATATGAAGAAAGTTTTTTGTGTGAGGGGTAGGTTTAGAGATAGGTTTAGGGTAAGAGTAAATACAGTAAAGCACATTAAAGTGAAATTAATTAAAATGAAAGAAGAGTGTTCATTTGTGGCATTACATTTAGATTTGATTCTGCGAACACTGCATGTGTGAGAGTTCCACATATATGTTCCAATAATTATTAATGTTGATTAATACAATACAAGTATTGTATTTATCAACATAAAAGGTATAGTTCACCCAAAAATTTTAATTCTGTCATTAACTGCTCACCCTCATGTCGTTCCAAATAAAAATAACAACTTTATTCAACAATTCTTCTCTTCTGCATCACCCTAGGCTCCATTATGGAGAGTATCACGATGCATGCGCGTGCTGCTGCTTAATTGTTGAATAAAGTCATATTTTTTTTGTTTTCTTTGCACACGAAAAGTATTCTCGTAGCTTTGTAAAATTACAGTTGAACCACTGATGTCACATGGGCTATTTTAACAATGTCCTTACTACATTTCTGGGTCTTGAACGTATCAGTTGCTGTCTATGCAGGGTCAGAAAGCTTTCATATTTCATCAAAAATATCTTAATTTGTGTACCATCTCATCTTAATGGGTTTGGAACGACATGAGGGGTGTAATTAATGACAGAATTTTCATTTTTGGGTGAAATATCCCTTTAATAACCATTATAACAATACTGAGAGCAACAAATTATTTTTGTCATAATATTGCAGCACTATCCTGTAGTGAGTTTCTTTTTTAAAATGTATAATTTGCATACAATTTAAAACAGTTTGTTGTTATTGTTAACAGTTTATAGTATTCTAACTGATATAAGTAATTAGTTAAATTTAAGTATTTGACATAAGAGACATAATTCAATTAATAATGCAACTATAAATATTGCCTTTATGAAGATAAAAATGCCCCTGGAAATCAATTCCAGGGGACAAAAAAATTCCCTTTAATAGAAAAGGTCACTTGTGACCCTAGTGCATGTTTGTATGTAATATTAAGTATTAGCATGTACATGTATGTGTTGTATTTATGTTTGCATACAGTACATTTATGCATTGTAATAGTAGACTTTACAGCAAAGTGTAAAGCACCTTCATGCCTCTTAATCCCAAGGAGAAACAAAATGTGTTTCTTATAAATATTATATAATCAATGACTTGTCTAGTAACCTCTATTCCCATGCCTGACCTTTTACCAAAAAGGCCAAAAGGTCAGGGCCCGTATTTATCAAGCCTCTGAGAATTACTCTCAAGAACGCTGCTAAGAATTGACTTGAATAATAAAAAAATTATTGTCTCAAAGCTGCGCTCAAAAGTTAGTTATCAAGCATCTCAGTTGTAATTTAAGAGAAGTGTTGGACTAAATCTTAAGTGTCAGTCTTAGAGTTGATTCACAACACTTTGCTGTGCCACAAACGGGATTTTGGATGACTAAATACACATGGACCAATCACTGAATAGACTTCCTTATTTAAGAATATTCTCAGAAAAATTCACATTGAAGGGTTAAATTCCTAATAGGAGTTTACATTCAACACACATTTGACAATAAAGAATTTTCAAGAGAATACATTATGGTAAGTACACGAATCCTCATCACAACCTTTAATTTAGGGTTGTGCCGGTAGACGATAGTATTGTGTATCGATGATAGTCAGAGATATCGCCTGTTGCTGATTTCTTTGATGACAGCAAGATTATTATTATTATTATTATTATTATTTGTATTATTATTATTATCCATAAAAAATATAGGCGCCTATCTTTAGTGATGCAGCGCGAAGAGCCGCTTCAGAAACTTGCCACGGCGCGGATGGTGAGTAGCCGTGATCAGCTCTGGTGGCCGTGCCGGAGCCATAACGCACCGCAGACGTGTGCAGTGTCAAATAAGGGGTAAGAGATTTATTCATGATACAGTGTAATTAATAATAATAATAATTCGTTGCATTTATATAGCGCTTTTCTAGGCACTCAAAGTGCTTTACATTGTCAGGGGGTATCTCCTCATCCACCACCAGTGTGCAGCATCCACCTGGATGATGCAACGGCAGCCATAGTGCGCCAGAACGCCCACCACACACCAGCTTATTGGTGGAGAGGAGATAGAGTGATGAAGCCAATCAGCAGATATGGGGATTGTTAGGAGGCCATGATGATCAGAAGCCAATGGGCAAATTTGGCCAGGATGCCGAGGTCACACCTCTACTCTTTTCAAAGGACATCCTGGGATTTTTTTTAATGACCACAGAGAGTCAGGACCTCTGTTTAACATCTCATCCGAAGGACGGTGCTTGTTGACAGTATAGTGTCCCCATCACTATACTGGGGCATTAGGACCCACACAGACCACAGGGTGAGCACCCCCTGCTGGCCTCACTAACACCTCTTCCAGCAGCAACCTAGTTTTCCCAGGAGGTCTCCCATCCAGGTACTGACCAGGCTCAACCCTGCTTAGCTTCAGTGGGCAACCAGTCTTGGGCTACAGGGTGATATGGCGGCTGGTAGGTAGCCTCACTGATTATAACGGAAGTGTTTTTAAAGAGCATATAATACTCGCGCTAGACTGAAGTCAGTTATGATGTTCTTTGGTAATGTAAATATTTTTTGCTCGTTTCTGTTTGAATAACTGAGGAAATGTAACTGTTTTATTAAGTCTCCTCAGTGCCATCACAAGCCTCTACTGGCAACTCCTAACCACTTGAGAGACCACTCGAGCTGTCTTAAATAACTGGGAGAGTAAGAGTGATTCTTAGCTTTAAGAAATTTGATAACTTGCTTTTATACTTAAATTTGAAAGTAGGAGTACATTTAATGAATTCTCAGCGCTTAAGACTAAAATGGAACTTTGAGAAGCTTGATAAATACGGGCCCTGGTCCACATTGGTCCGTATTCAGGCTGAGAGCCACTCAGTTATGGAGGTAGTACACTGCAAGTTCGGACATTGGGGAGGTTGTGAGCCACTGCAAATGTTACAAACCAGTTAACCTGATAATCGTGCTGAGCCAGTCGCTAACACATGAGCTATCCTGCTTAACACAGAGACATAGAGCTTTCAATGTTCCTTTTATAGCTTTGGATAGATTAATAAAAAAGATAAAATAAAAAAAAGATGTGTGTGCAAATGACTTGGTGAATGGCAAAGAACAGTATAGCCATTCCTTTCAACAAAAACTATTTGTGTGTGGGTCAATGTATGCACACTATATAGCCACTAAGCTCTTATAATATACATAGATCTAGATGATTTTGCAATAGGGGAAAGCCTGTACACTGGTCAAATTGGGCCAACTCCCCAATTTTTTTTATTTTTAAAAAAGATTCTTATTTCATCAGAATCTCCACTCGGCTCGTAATTCCTCTCACATGATGTAAGCTGCAACCATAAGCATCAACAATTTCCTTGTGATTTCTCTTTGCGAGGTCCATTCATTATTAATATCATTAGAGTAATAGACAGTGAACACAACACACAATTCTCAGTCATACAGAAAACAGCAGAAAAAGTTTGTCTAGAGTCACAGATACAACTGACAACATAGAATATACAGTGCTTGTGTACGTATGTCTTCTTCTCAGACTACTTCTCAGTACCTTTCAACAATTTGAATTAACTGAGCATTCTTTGGGTAAGACTATAAGCCTCCATCCCACATCTTCTGGTCAGTGCATGGAAATCCAATTTATTTCTTTGTTTTCACACCTGGACTCTGTGCTTGGTAAAATGGAACTAATTGCAAACCAGTGATAAATTGAAATGTTACAAATTAATACTTTGATTCACAGCACTTGTCAGATTCCTGTTAACAAGCACACAAGTAAAATGGTACTTTGGCATGCATTGCATTTAATCTGTCCTACCCTGGCACACACGTATGGTCCATTCCATCAATCAGTACTTACAGTCTCCTGTTGTTTTATTCTCACCCTGCTGAACTAATCAACGACATTAATTAAAACAGCCAGCATGTGTCAGTGCGTATTATAAGGTGGCCCTATGTGATGTATAATTATAATATATCATCATTTATAATAATGATGTAATGATGTCTTTCAAGTAAATTTGCATCTTTACACTATAACACAAGCAATTTTGCCAGCTTGGTTTCAATAAAAGCTGCTTTGGACTATCAAAGAAGTTTTGAGTTCTGAAATTTACTGTATGTTTTATAGTACACTGACCTGTCAAAAGATCAAGGAAAATTAGATTTCTCAATTCATGACCACTTTGGTTTTAATACATGGTTTGCATTAAACAACATGGGATATAAAAGGCTTTTAAAACAGTCATTGTATATTGGTTGATTTGAAATATAAAGTTGTTTTTATTTGCAAAAATAATAATTTACCCTTGCAAGAACTAGGCAGGTAAACATTTCGCCACAAATATTACGAAATTTAGTATGGACAGTGGCTATATTCCTAAACAAAATGTGCACTATATTAAAAAGTTCTCTACTAAAATATCAACTGTTTATGAACTCAAATGACAATTCCCCCCCCGTGAGTTATAAGAAAAAACTGCAAAAATCTGCTTCTTAATCAGTATATTTATTAGATGTCCAGATCTCAGATGATATTTAAACTTTAACAAACAAACATTCAGAATGAAACTTTGAAACATAATATTTTTGCTCAAATTATTGCTCACATTTTCATCTCACATGTACAGTATATTCATCGTTTTTTGTGACATCTGTATAACATTTAAATTCCTCCATGGTATCAGGAAAAGAATGAAAAGCAGAATGAAAACAAATTGGAATTTACATGTGTTATAAATATGTATTATAGTAATTATTGTTAGCATTAATAGAGCATACTTTATGTATTATTTGTTCTTGTTTTATGTATTATGTTTGCAGCACTTTGAATATAACAAAGACACATTATAAACAACCTCTTATTATTATTATTATTATTATTATTTGCTGTTTTCAGTACAAAGTATATCCCCCCCCCCCCTTTTTATGTGATGTCTGTGTAATAAGTAACAAAAAACAGGTACACTACTGTAAAGGAAGGACTGCAGTCCTGAGTATAGTATTACTATTTATACATGGCTCTGGATATAGGGTCACAAGACCAAACATTGTACAATTTATACATTTGACAAAGCATAATCAGTAAAGTGTGACCTCTGCCGATCAGTATTCATCAGATCCGTCCCCACTGCGCTGATTGCTTATGATTTATAAGCCTGTGCCAAGGATGCCAGGCTGTGGCCTGACACCACCCTGATCAAATATTCATCCCACTGCTGAGGAGACCGCCCAAGATCCCTGTATCTGTCCCTCCAGTCCAGCTTTTCCTGTTTCTTATTTACCGTAAATGTTTCATGCCCAAATAAAAATTACAGGTCTTGATTTGGTCCAGCAACAGCAGTGGCCCGTAGTGACTGTGGCTTAGCTGGAAGATTGCCATATCCGAGGGTCTGCTAACACAATGTAATTATGTGTGTAAATCGGACTGCATGAAGTGAGGGGAGAAAATCTCGCTTCTAATCGCACGTGGCGAGGGAAAAAAAGGAGCCCAGGGCTATAAACGCTTGTGTCAGTTTTAAACAAAAGAGTCTGTGAAGAAAAGGTAGGCTTGGAAGGGCTTGTCAGTATTAGACCTGACAGCAAAAGCCTCAAAAGTTAGTAAAGATCTGGATGCTGTCCACTGAGTGAGTGTTATACACATTAAAATGAACGTCGTATTACTATGTACAATAATAATACAAAATTGACACCTAAACCCAACCCAGACTCTGCTTTTCTATATTTGTTCGCTGTGAGTTTCATGTATTTACACTCTCATAATTATGAATTAGCGTGTCACATCTTTCATCAGTCAGATTAATTGTCTTGTCTTGAGTAAATAATTTAATTGGCTGACTTGAAGCGCAAGAAAGGAAAATGACAGAGAATGGGGAAGAGACTCAACACATTAATTATTGTGCAGTCACAGTGTTTTAACCATTAGGCTAAATTAATGACTTTTAAAGCTGTGCAAAGGAATCAGAAGATTGGGCAAATAATTTACTATGCATATGGGATTATATGGTGATTATGTTGCACAGATTTTTAGACATAAATGCACTATTAATTAACTTTGTGTCATTGCTGAACTGAAAATCTTGAACTTATACCTGAAAGCAAACTATTATAAATAAATAAATAAATGCTTTAAAATTGTACGTGTATCTTAACAATTTGAATATTTGTATTATCCCTGGCCACAGGTTAATAGCTTATGATAATTTGTAAGCTCCTAGCGAGGTAACGTGATCTGGGCAAGGTTTAACTTTAAATTCATGATACAAGACAATGATTCTTTATAAATGAAACAGGCATTTATTTTTAACTACTCCTATAGATTACATGGATCTAAAACTAATGAAAACACACACATACATACACACACACACACACACACGTACCGTTCTGAAGAATGAGAGTTAACAGAGTTCTGAGGAAATCCCAAAGTTTTAGCAAGATATTCGCTACAGTTCTTTACTTGCAACCTGAGAAAATCACAAAGCAGAGATTTGTCTTATCTTTACTACTTAAGATCAACTCAGCACCGATTTCAGCAGATAGGAGACTTTTGTTTGTTACTTGCGTTTGTGTTGAAAAGAGGAGGGGTTTTCCTCGTTGCCTGAGGGAGTCCCGGAGCTTCGGATTGGTTGCTGAGATGATGTCTGGATGACATCCTTTTGGGAGAGCCCTCGGTGGTGATTGGTTGGTTGCCGGGTTACGGAGGAGCCTCGAAGTTCTTCTGAGAGAGTCTGATTTTGCAAGACTTTGAGTTCTGCAGAGTTACGAAGCTTCAATGGAGTGGTTGAGTTCTGGATGGCCCGATCTCGTGATGGTGAGCGTGTGAGCACAAGTTGGATTGCTATTAACACGGCGAAAAGAAGCGAGCTAAGAGTGAAAGAGCCATCTGGTTTTAAGCCAGTCGAGTTGGTCCATCCCTGAAGCGATTGTTCCAATCAGAGATCAGTTGCAGGGCGGGGCCACGGCCCGTACGTTTGCCTTTTTTGTGCATAAATTATATGCTTTCCTGTATCACATGGGATACATCCTTGCCAGATTGTGTTAATACTTCTATAAAGTTTCTTAATGTGAGTATTGTACATACTTCCCACTTTTCATCCATACCACTGTTCTGCAATTATCACACGCGTTCATTCAACACTAAACTTAAGATATTAATAGCTTTATCTGCTAAAAGGGGTTAAAAACATTGATTAAAGTTGCAAGGTTACATTTTAACACCTCAAGCATATATAAGACATACAACATATTATTTGTGAATATAGTTGCCCTTTTATACGCATAAATGATTGTCTTTTGAACTCATCCAGTGAGTTTTGCGTGTTCCTTTGTCTCTCAAAGAGAAGCGCGCGTTTTTCTGGAATTTAGAGAAAGGGGAGCACAGAGAAAACCCTGAGGTCAAGGAGGTTGTAAAAAGGTCCTGGTCATAGACCTGCTATTCTTCTCATTTGGACGTGGAGATATAAAATTGTCTCTTTTGTTGACGGGATTATTCATTTATGCATTAAATGGTCATGGGTATCACGCATCTGGTTCCTGAATGCCCGTCATACAAAGATAGTTTGTATCCTCTGGGTGAGTTAGGGTCTTAGCACTGCTTTTCTTTGAGTCTCTTGAGAAGATAAGCAAAATGGGACAGGAACTGCTGAGACACTGCACTGACCCTGTATTAGTTTTACGACCGCAGATGGCTGCGGAGAATCTCTTCAGTTTGTTTCTATGGAATGTGGTTGTTTCATGTTTGACTCCATAGTTTAAATGGGTCTGTTCGAAGACAGAAACCCTACATCATTATTGAGGATAATAGAAGCAACAAAAACCAGCAAAAGAGCAAAAAAATGCAAGTGCTATGACAAGTCTCGGTTAGCCCAACACAGTGCATGTAGCAAGTTGTATATACAGTGGGTACGGAAAGTATTCAGACCCCCTTAAATTTTTCACTCTTTGTTATATTGCAGCCATTTGCTAAAATCATTTAAGTTATTTTTTTTCCTCATTAATGTACACACAGCACCCCATATTGACAGAAAAACACAGAATTGTTGACATTTTTGCAGATTTATTAAAAAAGAAAAACTGAAATATCACATGGTCCTAAGTATTCAGATAGAAAAGTTACAAGTTATTTTATTTACTGTACTCTACAAATTTGAACTGCATTTGGTGCTTGGCAAGTGTTCATTTTTGAGAGGGATTACAATTCTCAGACAGAATCTTAGACAAAGGAAACTGATTTTCTGAAAATAATGAATGCACATGATGTGTCTTAGACACAGCTACATTTAAAAACTGCTATTTTAACACAACCATGAATGCAATATAAATGTCCCTTTTTTGTCAACCATCATCTTCTTCCATTTACCTCGTCACATACTTGGCAAGATTTCCTGCTGCCATTAATGACATGTATAGATTACACAATCACAGCAGCACAGAGCCTAGTGAGGAAGGACAGGCAGTGCTAATAGCATTTGAGAGGCAGCACGGAAGGAGAAGAGGAGAGGAGGGTGATTAATATGCTTCTAACTGGGACTCGCAAGGAGGGAGAAAAAGGGGGGGTTGGTGGGGACTTGGTGAAAAAAATCGTATGCAATATGCAAGAAGACAACAACATACCATCAATTCATCATCAATCTCCTGCTAGGACGTACATGTGTATTTATGCTCTGTGATCTGGCCTTCTGGGAAGGGAGATTAGGAGTGTGTATGCATGTGTAAAGAGTATCTGTCTGTCAGAGGTTTGGGAATTTACACCGCTGAGAGATAGGCCAGTCTGATTACCACTCAGCATAAAGATACACGAATATACTCACTTGACAGCCAGAGAAGTGTGACTAACAATAAGTAGAACATTTGTATAGTTGTTTGCATCCCTGACCGATCATTATGATCTAATAATATTCTGTTCATTGAAGAAAAAAAAAATACACAAAAATATGAAGCTGCACAATTGTTTTCAGAATTGATGATAATAAAAATGTTTCCTGAGCAGCAAATCAGCATATTAGAATGATTTACTGATTGTAATGATTGAATGATTTAATGATTTAGATAATGATTTAATATTTACCGTATTTACTGACCCCAAACATTTGTGCACTAACTGCAAAGTTAGGCCATCTCATTGTGTAAACGTCTCTTTGTAAAGATGCATAAAAGCCATACTAAAATATCTGGGCATCCTGTGCATTTCTCAATAATGTACTGCTCTCATCGCTTGCTTCCCTTTGATCTCAATCGCACAATCCACCATGCATCAGAACACTTGAAAGCTTGACCTTGAGCATGTCTGTAGCAATACCACAGAATGCATCATATAATGATCCATTGTATAGTACATTTTTTCTTACCTTGCCACTCTATCAACACACTATTTTGTAGTACAAATGCATTCAATTTAAACTGAAACGCAAAATACCTGCAAGGCAAGCTGTCATTCTGGAAGAGGGAGAGGAAAAATTACTGTACTTTAATTAAAATGAAATAAAAAGTAACAAATAAAATGCAATGATGCAACATAATTTGGTACTTTTATAGGAGTAACAATGCAATGCACTACTTTTAAAAGTTTCCCAATACTGACCTGGGGGGACATGAAAGCATGTGAGTATCATAGGTAGTGATTAACATGTAACGATGCTTTATTTTTTATTTTTTTTGAAGAGTCAGTTCTGTAAAACAACTCTTTCCTCTCACTTATCAGGTAGCTCACTGCAAAGGTCAGTCTAATTAGCTTGTAGCACTAGTTCAAAAGAGCAGTTCAATTCCTCAATTAAGCCTGAATGCAAGGTGAAGAAAGGAAATGTAGCCTTCGTACTGGCCATAGACAATATAAAGTTGTTTTCTCAGGCTAATCTGATTCTCGCAGAATCTCTTGAAGTCTTCAAAGTTATGATCAGGGTTGGATATGCTAGTGCATGATCAGCATGAAAAGGGTGCTGAGGGAATTTCTCATTCAGAGTGAAATTCAGTAAAAATAGATCATAGGCTAGAGGTAATGGGAGAGTTATGTAACAGTGTTGGCATCATGGTATGCACTGGCTAATGAATTGTATGATTACTTCACGCCAGACTTTAGTGTTAGATTTATGCTAGTATACGAAGGCTACATTTCTGGGTTACTTGTCAACCATCTTGCAAGAATGACAGTTATCTGGGGCAAGAATTTGCAGAATATATACAACATTGTTAATAAATAATTACAATGAAAAATACTAACATCAAATATTAAATAGATGCATTTTGACAATTTAGTTGAATAATTGAATAAGGGTTGACAAATCAAATAACAGAATCCCAGTCAAAGTACAGGCTGAAAGATTATTCTATGTATTATTTAAAGGGTGATTATGATGCATGGAAGAATACTTACGCACACACGTATATATAAAAATATATAAAAATCATGGACCAGATGGAAAACATACAAAACAGCACATTGCAGTACCTTTGCTTCATGTGTAATACATGATCCCTAATTAGGATCCTACACAGAGTAATAGGAATTCTGAGTGTGTGTGTTATCGTTCATGAGTTTATAAATATATCCATGTTAAGAAGACCTCGCCTGACACACTGTATTAGTGCGATTGCAGCACTGTTTGAAAACCGAATGCATTCACACATCAACACAATGCTATAACAGTGGAATTAATAATAATATGCAGTGGAAGAACCTCATCATCAGTTTAACCTTTGCAGAGAGGACAGCATCATTTAGAAACCACTTTCCCCTTCATTAGAGTAATTTCAAACTCATAATAAGCACTCTGGCAGTTTGGCTTCTTTCGCATCAGCCCAGACATGCATGATTCTCCTTGGCCTCAGTGTTGAAGGAGGGTGTTTCTTCTGTTTCTGCAGTTTTCTGATGAGTTAACCTATCCCGGTGTGTGTACAGTATGTGGGTGTGTGTTTAATTTAGGGTCAGTACGCAGCTTCTGTTGCTTTTGTTCTACTGTACATAAACACCTGGAAGATCATCAATGATCTTATCCAGATTAGAAAACAATGCTCATATTTGCACTCTGAAAACTAAAGTAGTGAATATTTCAATATGATAAAAGTGAATGGCACCATATGAAGAAAAAGTGGCCCATACGACTTACATAATAATCCAAGTTTTCTAAAGCAAAACAAAAAGGCAAAGTGTGACAAACTGATCATATTTTAGCTTGTTTTTTACTAAAACATCTTGACTTCCACTTTATATCTCCTCTACATGTTCATGAGAGCTGTAGCGACACTGGGTTTGAATCACTCGAGTTGGAATATTTCAGTCTGTCCAAAAAATATCTCAGATTCTTGAGTTTAACATCTCTGACTTTAGAATTAGATCACCCAAAAATGATAATTGCATCATCTTAAACATGTATGCTTGACGGGTGAGAACCAATTAGCTTTTGAGCTTCAGCAGGAGTCATTGAGGTTTGTTCTTACACATTTTCTGTTTGATATATTTGATGTGATCTATGTATGCTAATTGACCAATATTTATATGTGAATAAATGCCTAAATTGAATCTGTTCACCTCTTTAGAATAGCCTGATTACGTTTACAGTGTCTTCATCTATTCTTTGAAGCTTTTTGAAGCTTGAAGTTAAATACTCGTTTGTTTTTGAGTGAAACATT